TTTTTTAATTTTTATTTTATTTTATTTTTACTGTCTCTCTTGCAATCACACTGTCCCTGCAATGCCCTGTTCCCTGATTTATTAGGCATGGTCTACACACAGTTTTTGTACATGTATAACTATGTCAGTTAGCGGTGTGATCTTTTACTGATAAGGTTGTACTCGTGGACATAGTTATGCTGGTATAAAGGTCCCTTCCTATGTGGTAATAAGATTTACCAGTATAAGTACATCTTTATTGGTATAACCACATCCACAAAGGACAGATTATACCACCTTAATTATACCAGTATACTCAAAGCAGCATAACTTTTCTGTGTAAACAAGGCCTCAGGGATGACCTTGCCTTCTGTGCCATGCCACAGGGTGCTGCCTCCCAGTTAAACTGTTGAACCAGGGTGCACCAAATGTCTGAACATGAAATTTGAGGATTTGGTGCATCTCACAAAATTGCATGCCAGAAAACAAAACAGTTCAGCTGAAAGGCATCAAGATGCAGCCACAGAGGATGTGATGAGAGGGAAAATAGACAAGTCAAGAGGCTGAGGGAACAGAGTGGGAAAAGGAGACTGGAAAGTTAGAGTGCTCAGAGGAGGGAGTTGGAGTCGTGAATGAAAGGTTAATTGAACAGAAAACCCTCAGTGACCCAGTGTCAATGCCCCCATTCCTGTTTCTCACCCAGATTGTCAAAACTATCCAGAAACCACATACAGACAAGTACTCCCTATCTAACACACTCTGTACTGTGAAACTCTACCAAGTACCCTTATGTTGGGTTGGCCCTTGGGAAAAGCTAAAAAATAGCCCCTCTACTGACAAGTGATTGTCATTTTTACTCTATCTTTACCAGCAGATACTGGGACTCAGGGGCAACTAAGAGCCTGCATCCCAAGCAAGGGGGAAAAATTCATAGGGAAGGATTGCAGACCAAGCTGGATAAGCAACCATCTCAGACAGGTGATTAAGAGAAAGCTGAAAGCCTACAAGGAATGAAAGATGTGAGGGATCAGCAAAGAAAGCTACCACTTGGAGGTCAGAAAGTGTAAGGATAAAGTGAGAACTGCCAAAAGTGAAGCAGAGTTGGACCTCGCAAAAGGAATTAAAAACAATAGTAAAAGGTTCTATGGCCACATAAATAAGAAGAAAACAAGGAAAGAAGAAGTGGGACCACTAAGCACTGAGGATGGGGTGGAGATTAAAGATTATCTAGGCATGACCCAACACCTAAACAAATACTTTGCTTAAGTTTTTAATTAGGCTCATGAAGAGTTAGGGGTAGTGGCAGGGTGGCTAATGGCAACGAGGATATGGAGGTAGAAATTTCTAAACCTGAGGTGAAAGTCAAACTCAAACAGCATACTAGGACTAAATCAGGAGGCCTGGATAGTCTCCATCTTAGAATATTAGAGGAACTAGAACATGAAATTGCAAATCCAATAGCAAGGATTTTTACTAAATCTGTAGATGATCCAAGAAATGGAAAACCTACATTATGAGAGGAGACTCAAAGAGCCTGGTTTGTTTAGCTTAACCAAAACAAGGCTGAGGGGAGATAGGATTGCTCTCTATAAATACATCAGAGGGATAAACACCAGGGTGTGAGAGGAGTTATTTAAGATAAGCACCAATGTGGACACAAGAACAAATGGATATAAACTGTGCATCAACAAGTTTAGTCTTGAAATTAGGTGAAGGTTTCTAACCATCAGAAGAGTGAAGTTCTAGAACAGCCTTCCAAGGGGAGCAGTGGGGCAAAAAACCTAACTGGCTTCAAGACTGAGTTTGATAAGTTTATGGAGGGGATGGTATGATGGGTCTGCCAACAATTGCATGTGGCCCATCGGTGGCTGCCAGTAGCAAAAATCCCCAACAACTGGAGACAGGACACTAGATGGGGAGGGCTCTGAGTTACTACAGACAATTCTTTCCCAGGTATATCTGGCTGGTGGGTCTTGCCCACAAGCTCAGGGTCTAACTGATCACCATATTTGGGGTCGGGAAGGAATTTTCCCCCAGGTCAGAGTGGCAGAGACCCTTGGGGGTTTTCACCTTCCTCTGCAGCATGGGGCATGGGTCACTTGCAGGTTTAAATTAGTGTAAACGGTGAATTCTCTGTAACTTTAAGTCTTTAAACCATGATTTGAGGACTTCAGTAACTTAGCCAGAGGTTAGGGGTCTATTACAGGGGTGGGTGGGTGAGGTTCTGTGACCTGCAATGTGCAGGAAGTCAGAGTAGATGATCACAATGGTCTTTTCTGACCTTAAAGTCTATGAGTCTATGTCTTCACTGTAGAGTTAGCCTGCTCTGGGCACTTCAGTTAGCCTGGGTCAGAGCGGGGATCAAGCACCCCCGGGGAAATCAGAAAGTTGGCGCCTCTGCGACACCTCCCAACTCCTTATGCCCAGTGTCCCCCTCGACCTGTTATGCCCAGCACCCCGTCCCCACCCCCTCCCCACAAATGCACAGCACCCTGCACAATATCACCTCTGCCCAGTGCTCCCCCCCGCCCACAGCCCCACCAGGACCGCCTAGCACCCCAAACAGAACCCCCACTCCCTAGTGCCCCAACACACACAGATCTCCCCCACTGCCTCCCAGCCAGCAACCCTCCTTTACCCCAGGTTCCCCAGAGACCCATTCCCTCATGCCCTGCCTCCCAGTCACACATACTGGCCCTGCTGGGAGGTGACTGTGTCTGCTGGGCTGAGCTGGCAGCGCAGCCAGGGCTCCAGCTCCTCGGCAGTGGTGCGATCAGCCAGGCCAGGGCCTGCCCCAGTCGGGCTCCTTCAGGACCTACTTGCCTGGAGGGGCGCAGCCAAGCCCCCACACTGTGTCTCCCTCCCCTCCCCCGCACCTGGCCAAGACTGGCCAGGCTTCTGCACCAGTTCGAGTTGGCTTGGCTCCGGGGAGACAGACAGGGCCCCACAGGTGGCGGGAAGCAGAGACTGCCCGGAGCTGGAACTGCCCTGGAGTCCGGCCAGAGTGTTGCCAATTTAGCTACTTTCTCACTAGATTTAGTGACTTTTTGGTTTCCCTAGTGAGAAAGTAAGTGTCAAAGTGACCAGTGACAAATCTAGTGACTTTCACTGCCAATTACAATGACACTCAGAGAAAGAAGTCACCAATATCTATAGTCACAAAATCATTCACAAGCAGCTCAGTAGTGTTAATAAAATCTATTCCACGCTCTTCTTCACTCTTTTGCACACCAAGTCAATGTCATTACATCTCAATTGAGCATGTCCTCAGAAGGAATCACATTCCAGGGCTTCTTGGGTTGAGATCACTATAATCTGCAGGCGAGGAAAAGAAGTTTGTGGAGGCTAATTAAATACTTTGCTAAAGCCAGGCACACGTTGGAGAGAGCAGCACATTAGCCAGGGCTTGTTTTTACCCAAATGTGTTCTTTCTCGCTTCTCTGTGGTAGGTAGCGCACCCTGTGATGCAGGGGAAGATGGCTAATGAAGTGGGCAGGGTGGGGGAGGCAGGTTAGCCGACAAGGAGAGCCACACGAATGGAAGGTGGGGTGGGATGAGACAGGGCCATGTGCCCCAGTGGGGCAGGGGGCGCCGTGCCTCCAGGGATGAAGCCTTTAATATAGGATCAAAGGTGGAGTAGCTCCCCTCTACTCCTTCCCTGGGGTAGGCCTGGGGTTAGCTGACCAGCTGTTTTCAGAAATTAAACCCTGGAAGTGGGGGGATTCGGAAGGGGTCTGGCTAGCGGATTTTTGTTCTTAAATCTACTTTCTTGGCTCCCTGCAGCTCAACTCTGTACACTGCAGCCCAGTATGGCTGGAGTTGGTTAATTTCAGCCAAGCCTCCTTTTCTTGCCAGCCTGGATTTGAGCCAACAGGTTAGTGAAAGGGAAAGCCCAGACCCCAGAGGAAGAGGGTATTCACCTGACCTGAGCTCAGTGCTGCAGGGAGCCAAGAAAGTATCCTTAGCATATGAATTCACTAAATAAAATGACTTGCAGTTTGGCATGCTCTAGACTTCTGTCCATGTCAAATGGTGTTTCAACCTGACATGCTGGGTCACAATGCCACTCACTGAAATTTGGCCTGGCGTTCTCTCTGCCTAACCAAATCTTTAGTGGTGCCATGCTAAGTTAAAGTGAGAATTGTTCACTTTCTGGAGGTGTCCCTGCCTATGCTGACTTGTGGGAAGGCATTGGAGGACTATCAACACTCAAGTTAAGTAGTCTTCATCAACACTGCAGAGTGGACAGTTTACCAGCCCAAGTGAAAGTGGGATCTAGGTTCTAGCCTGTCCACTTACTCTACTGGGATATCTCTACTCAGCCCAGATTTCAGACATGGCCAAACTCGAGTTAGATGATGTTCTGTTGTGTGTGCCTGGGTTAGGGGCAACATCTGAGTAGGAGCCCATGTCAACTTTTTTGTGAAGAGGTACCCTTAGAGTTGCAATCAAATGCAATAGAGACTGATGATAGAACAGGGGACTATTGTGTCTGCTGACTAGGAGAATAAAATGCATTGTCTATTAATGCTGTGTCCAAAATATTACATCAACTGACAAAAAGTAAAATAAAATAAATCCTGCTTTCACTAAATTACTGAAGTGCAAAGCCTAGGTATAAGAACCAGAACAGAACAGACGAGGTTAGGGGGGTTGTTGGGTAGTCTGAAGTCTCCTCAGCTGAGAGGCGGGTGGATGTGGAAGTCATCACAGGCCAACTGCATACCCTGGTTCCAGGGCTTTCCAGCTATTATCTTTCATGAGCACTAAATTCAATCAAAAATCAAGGAAGTCTTAACAAAGGTAAAGATATAGCGAGACCTGCATAGCCCCATCCAGCCCCCTGCTATATAGACTACAGTCCAGAGCTGTAGGGCCAACAATTCCCTGGAGCAGGACACCATTAACCCGGAAGCTGGGCGCCCACACAGACCTTGCCTTTTGCAGAAGTTGCCCGATGTTACCCAGGGAAATACCCCCCCCCCACTCCCCCCCCACGCCTCAAAAGGGCGCCGGTGCCCTGCGCGCCCGGAGAAGGCGCCCGGCCGGCGGAATGGGCGGCGGCTCGCGCAAGGACCGCATGTCACAATGCAGCTGCCGCCCACGAGCAGCGACCCCAGCAACCGCCCCCCGCCGGCTGCGGCCTGCAGAGAGCCCACAGCTGCCGCCGCGCCCGGCGCGGGGCTGGGTCCGCCAAGGCGTAACCGAGGCAAACCACAGGCAGCCGGCCGCCCGGGGCAAAGACCAGGGGCTGCGTCATGGCCGCCAGTACCCCCAGACCCTCCCTCGGAGCAGCCGCTGCGGGGAAGAGGATGATATATACAGGTAACGAGCGCGTCTCCGCACCGGAGAGCCCGGAGCTAGGAGCACAGGGCAGCGGCGAGCCGAGCCCGTACCGGACAGAGAGGCAGCGGCGTCTGCACAGCACAGCAAGCTGCTGCCTCAGAGCCAATACGACAGCGCTGCAATTAGTATGGTTGCATTGGTCACACGCCAAGCGCTTATTTTCTGCGATATTATTGATTATAAGCAGGAGCAATGTGGACACAGAAAATTAAAAGAGTTGCAATTCACCGTATATTATATTTTGTCATGGTGCTGCAGCTTTATTTTATCGGGGGGGGGGTCTTAATAGCTAGATTGAAACCCCTCTTTTTGTTGTTCTTTTTTATTATACTCTCTTTTTCCATCGAGTAAATGTCTCCATTGTTCAACCCTCAGGACTTATTTAATGTGTGCGTGTGAGAGAAACGCACACAAAGCAGGAACGTGAAATCGACACTTCCTCAAGTTGGAAGCTTTTGTGCTCTGCTCAGCAGTACTCATTCTTTATTGAAAAAGTGTGCCCTGGGCCTAGGTATTAAACAAAGAGACCATATCAGCGTCTGAGAAGAGCGCTGCAGCTGAGGGTCTGTATGAAAACCTCCTGCTGATAGCAAAGACATTTCTCAGCGTTGCAGTTTAATAGCAGTTGCATACTTACTAGAAACACATTTGAATTTTAAATGTCCAGAAAGCATAGTGTACAATGAAAAAGCACAGGAATTAAACTGAGGGACTGAGACCAAATTTGTGTGTATTTAGTTTTGAAAAGTGCCTCTTTAAATTCATCCTGGAACCCTAACTTTATAATCACAGAAATAATACATATCTGAAATTTGAATTATACACAATTTATTATTTGATAGCTCAATTGCAGTGTACTCCTATCCTATTAATTAATTGTAAAATCACTTACACTTTCACTTTTATCCTTAGACTCCAAAGAACTGGAAACAAGCTATGAATTGTAGAAAGCATCTCAGACATGGTACACGTTATTGAGAGTTATACTGAACACATTAGGCTGTGCTCCTCTTATTATATACAGTAGTAGAGTTCTGCCACTGGGGTATAGTCTCAATAAGAAAATATGAATAAAATACATTTCCCTTCATTCCAAATCTGTGTGTCATTCACAGGTATTAATTTAACAGTTCAGCACATCTCAGTCTGTACAGGGGCAGCTGGCTGGCTCCCTCTTTTATTTGGTGCACATGTACACATTCCAGTAGAGGGCCCAAAAGAGTAGTGGCAAAGAGTCTTGTGGCACCTTACAGACTAACAGACATATTGGAGTATGAGCTTTCATAGGTGAATTTTGCAGAATTTTAAAATACCGTGTGCAGAATTTTTACTTTTTCATGCAGAATGTCCCCAGGAGTAAATAATATTGTAAAAACAACAAATGAGCTTTACATTATACATGTATAGCGTCAATAAACTCACGAACATTACACATTTTCATCCACATACACTTTTCCTATCATTATCCCCTCTGTGGAAGGTTTAGGCCTTTGGATCTGCATACCGCCAGATCTGCTAGCTGTTCCCTTGCACTTGCCTCACCATGCCACTGAAATCCTCCTCGATATATTGTTCCCCTGTGTGGTCTGCCCCTTTGTCCAACATACAATTTTAGGCTGTGGTTAGTCTCCTGTGGCTGCAGAGGACGAATGAGGCAGCATTTAGCCTTAGAAATGTTATTTCATTCTGTCTGCAAACTCAGCACTGCATGGGTTTGCATTCACAATTGTATTTTTGCAAATTTTAAGGGATAGAAACAATTTTTGAAAAAGATAACATCTATTCTGCTGAAATTGATGAGGCCATTAGAGAATGCTCATCTGACATGCCATAGTGAGGCCTTGTCTATACTGGCATTTTCCAAAAATCTCCCAATGTGATACTACCACCGGTAGTAGCAATATTGGGACTATTAGCATAACACCAATGATAGGTTGGCCATTGGCCATTTAATCTGTCTACACTAGTGCTCCCACTATTGTTACCACTGAGACTGAAGTACAGCAGTGGGAGATTTGTAGAAAAGTACCAGTGTAGATAAAGCCTTTAACTGGCTCAATCCAGCCCCTGTGCTACAGATTGTATTGGGATTTTTAATACCCTGTAAATGCTTGATCCTTTGCTATTGAAATCAGTAGAAAGATTCCCACTGAGTTCAATGGGTGCTGGATCAGGCCCTAATGCACTCTCCCAGGAAAACTTATGCCCAAATAAATTTGTTAGTCTCTAAGGTGCCACAAGTACTCCTTGTTTTGTTTTTTTTTAATTGGAAAGTGATCTTGACTCTTCATCCTGGCCACCTTTAATTCAATAAAGTTGCAACATCTTTGTTTGATGCAGGCAGTATCACTGTACTGTTGTAAATGTTTGATCACTGTCAGGCAATTTCAACATGAGTAATAGCCAAGGTTATTTTTAAAGAGTGAAAGGCAACTTAATCACAGCCTTGGTTCAGCTAAAAATGCAGTGTTTGCTTTTAGTGACACAGAGCAATGAAGTACAAGTAAAGCAAGCAATACATTTTACATGATAACTTGCTGGCTGCTATGGCTGGTAACTGTGTTATACAGGTTTACAACCTACTGTATCAGTTCAAGGTTAGCATAATTTTCATATGCATTCTGCAATTCTTGGTATAAAAAGAATTAACCTCTACATTTTAGTTTTCTAGTATAGTATTCACAAAGAGGACTTATACTCTGCAACACTGAGCGTCAATGTGCCTAACAGTTAGGCACCCTGCCACCTCGTGGAATTCACAGTCCTGAGTTAGGGGAGGCACCTATCTCCACTCATGATTCACAGCCATGAACCCTCTCCTGTGTGTAAATAATTAAATATTCATTGGAGCAGGAGGACCAAAACCTGGCTGTCATGTCCCAGCTGAGTGTTCTAACCACTGGGTTACAGAATCATTCTAATGTTCTCTCTGGCTCAATTACTATTTAATTATTTATACTTAGTGGAACAGCTTCACAAGGAGAGCTTAAGGGAGACCTGTCCCACAATACCTTATAGCCCAGTGGCTTAGAGCACTCCTCTGGGAAGTGGGAGTCTTCAATTAAAATATCTGTTCCACATCAGACAGAGAAGGGAATTGAACTTGGGTCTCCCACATTCTGAGTGAGTGCCCTAACTACTGGAATAAAGGCTGTAAGACGGTGAAATGTATCACTCCCTCCTCCTCTCTGGATGTTTTGTGAGGATTTAGACATGCTCTAAGCACTTATTGGACCCCATAGAAAGGGAAAATAATCCAACTGGGTCTTATGTGTAAGTTAGGAGCCGAGCTGCTGGTCAGTGTCAGGACTTTGGCAGCTATTAGAATTCTTTGAATTTTTTGTTCACAAGCATGTGGACAAGGGTGATCCCGTGGACGTAGTATACTTGGACATTCAGAAAGCCTCTGTCAAGGTTCCACACCAGTGGCTCCTAAGCAAAGTCAGTAGTTGTGGAATAAGTGGGAAGGTCCTTTAATGGATTAGTAACTGGTTAAAAGACAGGAAACAAATAAATGGTCGGTTTTCACAATAGAAAGTGGTAAATAGCAGGGACTTCCAAGGAGCTGTACTGGGACCAGTGCTTTCCAACATATTCCTAAATGATCTGGAAAAGGGGGTAAATAGTGAGGAGGCAAAGTTTGCAGATGATACAAAATTACTCAAGACAGTTAAATTCAAAGATGACTGTGAAGAGTTACAAAGGGATCTCACAAAATTGGGTGACTGGGCAACAAAATGGCAGATGAAATAGAATGTTGATAAATGCAACGTAATGCACATTGGAAAACATAATTCCAATTAGGAGACAAAGTGGGTGAGGTAACATCTTTCTAGGAAACTAAGTCACAATGTCAGAGTTAAATACAAAGTGGAACAGATTGTTTAGCATAAGTAGTTAACACATATTTCAAGGGACCATTGAATCTGTTCCACCTTTTATTTAGCTGTAACACTCTGAGTTAGTTTTGCAGACCTGAAGAAGAGCTCTTTGTAAGCTCGAAAGCTTGTCTCTCTCATCAACAGAAGTTGGGCCAATAAAATATATTACCTCATTGACCTTGTCTCTCTAATATCCTACGACCAACAAGCCTCCACTGCATATAATCCCAATTATACATACAAAACCGATGGGTTCTAAATTAGCTGTTATCCTCAAGAAAGATCTTGGAGTCATTGTGGAGAGGTCTCTGAAAACATCTGTTCAACGTGCATTAGCAGTCAAAAAAGCTAACAGGATGTTAGAAGCCATTGAGAAAGGGGAAGATAATAAAAAAGGACAAATCATAATGCCACTATATAAATCCATAGTATGCCCACACCTTGAATACTGCATGGAGTTCTGGTCATTCCATTTCAAAAAAGTTATATTAAACTATAACTTTATATATATGAATATATATATATTAAAAGTTATATTAAAATTGGAAAAGGTACAGAGAAGGGCAAGACAAATAATTAGTGGTAGGGAACAACTTCCATTCCAGGAGAGATTAAAAAGACTGGGACTGTTCAGTTTAGAAAACAGAAGGATAAAGGGGGATATGATAGTGGTCTATGAAATCAGGAATGGTATGGAAAAAACATGAATAAGGAAATATTATTTACCCCTTCACGTAATGCAAGAACTAGGGGTCACCCGATGAAATTAATAGGAAGCAGGTTTAAAAGTAACTTAAGGAACTAACAGTCTTTGTATGGAACTCATTGCCAGGGGATGTTATGAAGGCCAAAACTATAACTGGGTTCAAACAGGAATTAGATAAGTTCATGGAGGATAGGTCCATCAGTGGCTATTAGCAAGATGGTCAGGGACACAACCTATGCTCTGGGTGTCCCTGAATGTCTGACTGCTAGAAGCTGGGACTGGATGACAGGGGATGGATGACTGGATAATTGCCCTGTTTTGTTCATTCCCTCTGAAGCATCTGGTATTGGCCACTGATGGAAGACAGGGTACTGGGCTAGATGGACCATTGC